CCCATTCATCACTGGTTGCGTGTGTCCACCGGCTGTGACCAGTTCTACGAAGTGTAGAAGTCCCCCACCAACGCTTGTAAATTGTTGATTAATTGGATATCTTCAGGCCCTTTAAAAGCAAACAAGACAAACAGACAAACATTAGAGTTAAGTCTGAATAAGTAAACATAGTGTGTGTGTGTGTGTGTGTGTTGCGTTTAAAGCATGCAACCAGTTGAGTAGGTGTTCAATCCCTATAATACAGGGAAAAAACAATGCCTTTAAAAGCAAAAAAAACAAAGAAAAAAAAAAAACCTTCAAATGTAGATGTTGCAATAATGACCCTTGTCAACTCGAGTCAAACATTATCAGGAGGCTTCTGTACACAATTCATCCCAGTTGTGCTGTTTAACTTTAACAGTGATGGACAACTGGTCAGTAACTAGCTGTTTATGTCCATCTTCCAAACACCCACACCAGAAACACTCCTCTTCCACACAGAAACCCACGTAGACTCCAAATCTGCAGAAGATGCTCCGGTTGTATCCTGCAAATCTAGGAAGAAGTAGGCTTTTTATGTAGTGTAGCAATGTGACTTCATAGAAGTCAGCCCTTGAATGTTGATTGACATCTATTGATTACTGGGGTTGTTTCATGGTCTGTATTCTTCCAAGGTTTTACAGTATTAATGTAACTACAGTTTGTCAGCCATTTAATTGGCAGTGGAATTTGAATGAATCAGTGGCCAAAGGAGCATAAAATCCTGTCCTTCAGGCATCCCAGCTCTGTGAGTCCTTATTTGTGAGTTGGTGTTTGTGCACAGTGTTAGTGAAAGGAAAAGGAAAAGCAAACCTGGGCTGCAGCAGTAAGGACTTTAGTACATAGGATGTGTGCGCAACCAGGTGAGCTACCGGGTGCTCAGCTGTTTAACAAATACTGAGACTTCCTTAAAATGAAAGTGTGTATGTATATATTACTGTATATATGGTCTCAGTAGGAACTGAGAGCCACAGGCAAAGTAGGGAAGTCAATCGGCTGAGATGTCACATGCTAGTTTAACTCTTATCGTGGGAGTTATTCACAGCAGTAGAAAACAATTCCAGCCTTATCCTTTCGTTTGTATCTTTATTAAGATCTGTACACACATACAAAAAGGAAGAAAGTCGTGGAAAGTGTTGGATTTGGCTCTTTAATGATGACACCGGTGTACTTGAGTTGGCATTTACCATCCTGGTCTAAAAATGTTTAAGGACTCACACTGGTCAGAGAGGACTACATGATCTTTCCAGGACCATGAAAAGAGTCTCACAGCTATAAACCTATTCAATGAACCGAATGAATTGACACATACAGCTTTTTGTATCCCTTCAGTGTTACAAAAAGAGGGGATATGATTTTTTTTTTTTTTAGGTCATGAAAAATTTCAGCTTTGTTACAGAAACTCGTTAAATTTTACATCCCATTTACAGAGCACTCTCATTGCTACCTCTGTAGCTACCACAGGTGTTGCCACGAGCAACCAAGACTAGTGTCTATGGAAATGAAAATGATCATAGCGGGTTCCTACTTGCCTTTAAACCACACTCTACCTGTCTTATTGCAAGCTTTGCCATCAGGAGAAAGGGAACCCTCTTTTTGATAACGCAATTATGTAATCCGCGCCTCGCAGACGAGTCCTGACTCATCTGGATGCAAGGCTCCGCTTCTTGTTAACACAAACAAAAGAAAATGCATCAGATAACATGGCATCTCTTGTTTGACAGCTACTGGGATCATGAGGTCCAGATGGCTACCAAAGAGCTGCGGAAACCCAGACTCTCCAAAGCCATCATGAAGTGCTACTGGAAGTCCTACGCTGTGCTGGGACTCTTTACCCTCATTGAGGTAAGAAATGAGCTGAATATGGTGCAATAAATTTTACAAGGATTAAAAAAACAGGCCACTACACGTTCATATGTTCAGCTGTGAATGTATTGGTTGTCGGCAGCTGAAGCACTGCACTGTTGAACAGATTTTGATCAGAGCATGCTGTGGTTTAATTGTTAATAACCGTCCGCTGTCACAACGATTAGTGTGCGACGATGCTCACCCCTCTTCATCTCCCTCCGTGCATATCAGGAGGTCATTAAAGTCATCCAGCCGGTCGTCTTGGGGCAGATGATTCGGTACTTTGAGAGTTACGACCCAAACGACACGAAAGCTCTGCACCAGAGTCTCGGCTACGCAGCAGGATTGTCGCTCTGCACCATTGGCCTGGCCCTCCTCCATCACCTCTACTTCTACCACGTCCAGAGAGCAGGCATGAAGATCAGAGTGGCCATGTGTCACATGATCTACAAGAAGGTCAGTGGGATGAAAGTCACTCCTGAACAACAAAAAAAAGCACCGTTTCATCATCACCCACCTACATTAAATGTGATATTTTGCAGGTCTGTGCCGCATTTGATCCGGTTGAACAGACAGTGTTTGTGATATTTGAAATATAAATGTTGATTCCTTTCTTTTTCTAGGCGCTGTGTCTCAGCAGTTCAGCCATGGGAAAGACCACCACAGGCCAGATTGTCAACCTCCTTTCCAATGACGTCAACAAGTTCGATGATGTACGTGTAATTTAAGGCTTTTAGAAAACAAGCTGCTATTTTTGCTGCAAGGTCAAGACGCTACAAAACATCTACTGTATGCCTTAAATGCAATTACAGAAATGTTAAGTAAAAGGAACGCACTGCTTGCTTTTACTTGAGATCTCTGACATTAATATGAATCAGTCTTGGAATTTATAAAAGATTGTGATATTGTATGATAGCAGGCCTAATAGTTACTAATGTAGAATTAAAGGGCAACTGAAGTAACTTCTGTCTTAAGCATTTCATAAGTTCTGGATATTTCACTCTCTTGGCAAAAAACTGAATATTAGTCACTATGATCTGGCTTGTTTTTCCAGTTTAAGCCAGTTTGAGTTTTAGTCACTGTGGCCCAAGATGAACCATTTCCCAATATATTACCAGCTGGATCAGAATCTACGTAGAATATGAACTGGATCATGTTATTTTAAGTGCAATAAGTCAGTGTAGTCTGGTGTAAACTCAGGGAATGGAACCTCTTATGAAGGCATGATTATAACTTAAAGATATTTTTTTATATATATGTGAGTGGTTACAGTGCTGTTCTGTGTTCACTCTGAAAAACAAGGGAACAATCTGTCCTAGCGTAAGGTTCAGGCTTTATTGTGCTCTGAACCTGTTTGAGTGTTGTGTTTCGTTTTAATCAGTAGGTCAGAGCCCGCTGTGGAAACTCCAGTTTCTTCAGGGCATTTTGTTTCTTGGCAGTGGGCTGTTAATTAGATTATGTCAGGCTCTCATGCTGGTTTGGATTTAAGTCTTTTGTCAGGAACTGTCGAAACTCTCTCAGCCCAGCTCTGAATGTTTGGAGATGAGTACACATTCTTCTTCACAACAACCTCGGATCTCAGGGTTCACTGTGACTCAGATTTGCCAGGAATTGGTTCCTCAAGATGCAACAAATCACTCATGTTCATTTCTCTTGAACAGGTGACTATATTCCTGCACTTCCTGTGGGTGGGGCCCCTGCAGGCAGCAGCGGTCGTGGGGCTGCTGTGGTTGGAGATCGGTCCGTCATGTTTGGCCGGCATGGTGGTCCTCATGTTCCTGATGCCGGTGCAAACCATGTTTGGAAGGCTGTTTTCCAAGTTCAGGTAACACACACACTTTTAATGTCCAGATATTTCATTTTTGTCGGTCGTCGTCACGGCCATGAAAATAATGGTTAATTCAGCTGGACTCTCCTGATGTGTGATGAAAAGAGGATAATGAAGAGATGTAGTAGTTGTCTATTGTTCAGGTGCTTCACTGTGTGTATGTGTCTTAGTGCAGCTGTAGTCTGTCTACAGCTGACCTATTTTTAAACATGATGACTACATACCTGTGGTAGTCACTGAAACGTGTTTGTATATAAGTTGTTTAATCATCGTTTGAACGTCAGAAAATGCTCAGATTGTCAAAGTGTGTTTTTTTTTTTTTTTTTTTTTTTTTGTTTTTTTTTGTTTAGAGAAGAAGACAAGATGCGAGTTTTAAACACCCACTTTATTCTCATGGTAGCTTTGGTATAACAAGGCTAGTGGAGGGGGGAGGCATATGTCCCAGGCAAAAAGAGGAGTGATAGAGAAATAACAGGCCATCAGACAACGTTTTTGAGTCTCAAAGAGGTCTTCTGGAGCTATTTTATTTGTCCATTTTTAGAATTTTAGCCTGTGTTGATGGTTAGTGAACCCGGCTCTGCATGTACTAAATTTACTGGATAAGGGTTAAGTAATATTATTGTAAGTCTGGCTCAGTCCTAGCTTATGATTGCACCTTTTAAAAAAACAAACCTAACTACATGTTGGACCTGCCTGCTCACATACTGTACTGGAGTTAATTTGTTAAACCTGATTTTAATTAGCTTTAAATTGCTGTTTGTTGTAATTGTAGTGTAGTGGATATAGAAATGTGACGTTAAAATTATTTCACACTTGCAGTGAAAGTTGTAAATTGTTTTTAAGCAAGCTTGAATGTTACTTTTTCTGGTTTTTCCAGGAGTAAGACGGCTGTTCTGACTGACAACAGGATCCGCACAATGAACGAGGTGGTGTCTGGAATTAGGATCATTAAGATGTACGCCTGGGAGAAACCCTTCGCTGCTCTGGTGTCTGAAGTCAGAAGGTAAAAACATGAAAGGATTCCTGTGGTCAGCAATTTTCTGTTCACAGTCCAGACATTTATAGATCAAAGTAAAGATTTAAGGAGGTACGGGCTCCCAAACAGTTCAGTTCATCAAATGCTGTTCTCTTGTTGGTTTGGTGTCAGATCTCAGCATACATTACCATTTTATATTCATGGTTTATATTCTGTTTTATCTACCAGTGCACAAACACCGTAATTTAGAGGCTTGTTGTTATGCCTCCACACAGTTTCACCCACTATTCTTAAATGAAAGAATTCCAAATCAAACCATAAAATGTGTGGCTAAATCGGTGGTATTTGTTTGTTCTTGCCATCAGGAATGCCTTTAGTTGCTGTGAGGTGCTCATATGTTGTCTTTGTAGCTCCAATATTGTTTAAGGTGCTGTTGGGACATGAGTTATTTTGTTTTGTTGCTGCACAGTGCAGTCGTGCACAAGTGGTATGTGCTGTTTTGTGTGCCAGATTGAATTGGTGGAAACCACACCCACTGCTCTCATCTGGGCATCATCTTTGTCCTGTCCTTAACAGCCAACAGTCTAATTAGTGTCGAAAGAAGGTGACTACTCTTGACTACTACAACATGGCTGATTGTTCACAACAAAACTTCCCACTTCCAGCTCAAATTTCAGTCAACACTACTGACAAACGCACACAGTGAGGAATGATGCACACTTGCACATTAAACCAATTCCACACAGTCGTACTGGTTCTATGTCTAGATTTCCATTTGGTTTCTTGATGGGTTGAATTAAGTAAAGGCGCTTCGTGGTTGTTTTTCACTTCAGGCCATCTGGAGGTAATCTCGGTCAAATATACACTTTGTTTTACTTTTTACGTTACACGTTGCCATAGCAACTCACTCCATGTGGCTTTATTTCCAACGGCCCTCTTGATTTTATTCTCAAATAATTCAAATGACCATTATTATCCTTCTGTGAAATAGTCTGAATAAACTTTTTTAGCTATTATCTGTTTGCTGCTACCTTTTTATAGCGACATATAGATACAGAAGAAACACTATTTCCTGTTAATCTTGTATCTGGTGGACCCTTTAACAATACTGTGCTATAGTTGTATAGTCATGGTGGTGACTTAGTGGAGTCTCATTTGATGTGTGTTACTTACAATATATGTGACGATGAGGGTTATGATTAAGGCCTATCAAACCTGTCCTCTCCTGCACGTCAGGAGGGCAGGTCCTCAACACCTCCTCTCCTCTGGCAAAGACCTCGTACCTTTTTTAATTTCTCTCGACTGTAATCTCTATCTTTCGTGATCTGAATCAAGAGTAGTTGTGAGTGAGGACATTTCATCCATCCATGTATGATGCTCCCTAAAAGTGAAGGTTGAAGTCTGTCAACTGATGATTGTTGGATCTCTTTGTGTCGTCTTAGCAAGGAGATCTCAAAGATCATGAAGAGCTCCTACCTCCGAGGTCTCAACATGGCCTCCTTCTTCTGCGCCAGCAAGATCATCGTCTTCATCACTTTCACCATATACGTCCTTCTGGGAAATCCCATCTCCGCCAGCCGTGTGTTTGTGACTGTGTCGCTGTACTCTGCGGTGCGACTGACCGTCACACTCTTCTTCCCCAATGCCATCGAGAAGCTGTTCGAGTGCCGCGTCAGCATCCGCAGGATTCAGGTACGGTGCTTTAGTATTTTATTGAGGTTTATTAGAGGAATTTATGTTTTTAACTTTAAGATGAATGGAAAATGCCCATTTTTAGTCAATGGTATCTATAAATCAGCATATTTTGCAGCGGTATCAGTAGCAGTCAAAAAACATGCTGCGCTTTATTAAAAGTCGAAGGAGGGAGAAAAATGATGTCACCAGATCTTGCTCTTACTTGACTTGAGGTAGTTCTGGCACAGCTAGCATCATTGCTCTTCCAAGTAGCTTTCAGAAAGGCACGTACATGAATATTCACACCCAACTGTTTGCCTGGAGGTTTTCTGCACAGTCCCTCCTCTCACATGAGCTTCCCTATTGTAAGGTTAAAAATGATCTATGAACATTGTTTTCCACTTGGACGACTTTGTTGATATACTAGTCTTCAGTTTCTAGTCTTGCCTGGTCTGGACAAAAGCAGATAAAAGGCTACAGCGTTGGCTGCATCCAGTTCTTTTGCTGATATCACAGTTCAGACGGCTAATCTCTAAGCTCTCACATGGAGTCAGTTTTAAGGTCCTGTTCTTCGTAACCCTCCTTTTCTTCTTATAAAGATATGGTTAGCTTGAAATGTAGTTTTAAACCTGCACTTGTGAAACATTGCCTAATGATTTACCCAGCCACCTCAGCAAAAGGCTCATCTAAAGATGTACTTTAAACACTTATATCTGCATATTATATAATACTCACGGGGAGAACAGTAAGTTTACTGCTATGACTGTTTTTATATAACCCTTAGGAGTTGATGTTGACTCTATTCTGTTTTGTTTTTTTTATGGTCAAGGAGTTTCTGATGCTGGATGAAAACACAAAAAGGAGACCACCACTGCCTCAGGATGAAAAGATGGATGCCTCAGTGGAGATACAGGACATGACCTGCTACTGGAACAAGGTCAGATTCCTTCTTCTCACTGGTGTACAGTACTAGGTTCAGAGCCAGTTCACCAGATGTGCTGTGAAGGACTTCCAAAGATTACGCTGAAAAATTATAAATATCAACATGTAATGTAGACCTTGTCATTAAAATACCATGTTGGCCTGAAATATTAGTTGGCCCTGATCAAAAGAAATAAAACGTGAAGTATTCCTTCTAATTCAAAAGTAATATATTTTGTTATTTGTTGGATATTCAAATGTCATTTCCAGACAAAAATATTATTTTATACTCTGGGCCAGTACGGTCAGCTATAAATGCACAGCAGTCTAATTGGTATCTTGTATAAAACCTGATCCTTCTTGGACCCTTTGTTTGCTCTACATATGCCAGCTGTCAAAAATGTGCTATTCTGCTTTAGTAAAACACTGTATCATCATTGTATTGTGGGTGAGAACTGTGGACCACACCTCTGAGGTGTCAAAACACTAATAGGTCAGTGCAAAATGTACAGGAAATGGAAGCTGCTCTTTTCTCATGCAAAGCTTCTTACATTATATTATACTCTATGTGCAGCTGTATTGTTAAGAGACGTTTTTTAGTCTTTATGGACAAAACTGCATTATTTCTGGTTTATTAAAATGTTTGAATGTGTTTTGTACCTCCTGCAGAGTCTAGATGCTCCGTCTCTGCAGAACATCTCCTTCAATCTGAACTCAAATCAGCTGTTGGCTGTGATTGGACCAGTGGGAGCTGGAAAGGTCAGTGGACGTACTCATGTCATCGTTTCAGTCAGAAGCTAAAAGAAACTGATTTGTATTAAGCACTTGAATAAGAAAACTGGTTAGAAGGAATTGTTTAGGTAGTTTGTGCGCATTATCTCACGTTTTACCTTTCTTTGTGTCAGTCATCTTTGTTGAGCTCCATTCTGGGAGAGCTGCCTACTGAAAAAGGGGTGCTGAAGGTCAAGGGTCAGCTGACGTATGCCGCCCAGCAGCCCTGGGTTTTTCCTGGAACCATCCGCAGTAACATCCTGTTTGGGAAAGAGCTGAACACCCAGAAGTACGAGAGAGTCATCAGAGCCTGCGCTCTAAAGAGGGTGAGGGTTTGTTTAATTACTTCAGATTACATTGCTTTTGAAGTACACACTGTACACACTGTACACACTGTGCACACTGTACACACTGTACACACTGCAGTTCAGATAAAGGATTGACTCATTACAAGTAGAGAAAGGTGATAAGATGACTTGATATTTAAAGGTGCACTGTATGAGAGAGGGCTGAATATATGAATGATGAATATATATTTTAAAAAGCTACAAATGTGTATAAATGGGTAACCAGCTTTGTGAGACCAGTTATCAAGGATAGTCAATGAGTCTGTTCATTCTGGCCTTATCAATAGGTAATAATAGTAGTAACGACACCAACAGATCCTGAGCAGCATAACTGTAAAATGAATTCATTGCAGCCATACAAGTTCATGATTCTGTAGGTTAAAAGCATTGATGGTAGAGTTTATCTATTTTTTCTCAGTCGCTAGTTTCAAGTCTTCTTCCAGTCTTCTTGATGTTCGTTTAGTAAGTTATGGTCCCATTTACAGTAAAATAGATGATAAAGCAGGAAATGCTTTACGGGACGGGGCTACTGTGGGACTGACAGGTCGTTATCAGTCCGTCCATTAAAATATGAATCAAGCTTCTGTTACTGCGTTGCCTGTTTTTAGCCTCAGCTTTTCTTGCTGGTTTGAAGTGTCTGTGTGTCTGAGTCTCAGTTGGAAAAGGGTGATGTAATGTACTTCCGGGCACCAATCAGAGTTTAGTAACATAATAATCAAAATGTGATGATAGTGGAGTTGTTTGCTTTTGTTACCAGACTGTTAAGACAAGTCTTATCAAACCACATCCACACAGTTCTGGTGAAGCAGATTAAGTACTTGAACAAACATTGACCGGGGAAAAGTTAACTGTTTTGCTGGCTAGATGGCTTTTTAGTGTAATTGTAAACAGACCTGCAAATGTCACTTACGTCTTGTTGGATGCTGGTGTTGTCTTTACTCTTGGAACGAAACACACACTCTGTCAATGGCTTGTTAGTTACAGCGCAAGTTTGTTTACTGTCCCGCTACTGAGCGAGGGACAAAATCCTTGATCTGCGCAAAAACATATTGAAAAGTTTATCTGTAATAATCGATGCTGAACTCAGTGACCGTGGCTCAGAAGGTAGAGTGGGACGTCCACTAACCGCAGGGTTCGAGCCCACTGAGTTTCTATGTATTTAAATGCTGAGATATGACAATGAAGGCTGAAAGAATGTAGTCTTCTTCTTCTTAAGCCTCTATATTAGCTTCAAGAAGATATTATTTGCAGTACTTCCACTGGAAGCACATAAAAAGGAATCTCGTAATGGCCAGTATGAACAGGAAAGTTGTTTCAGTGTACATATAGTAACTATATATGTATATATCTAACCTACCTAAAGATGTTAATTTTTAATGTTAACTTTGATCGTTGCCCATATATCCATGAATATTTGTTATCAAGAAATATTTAAGATTTGAAACCAAGTTTTCATGGGCTTTAATATGATGAATGGATATTAGCGAATACAAGCTGAGACAAGGAGTCTGTAAATATTAGATGTAGTCGCTGGTTTGCTTGACCTAAAACTAGCGTATAGCAGCAACCGGTGTGCATCTAAAAGACAAAACAGAAGCCACAATAGCTCTAAAAACAAGCTGACTAGGTGCTGTTTCATTCATTCCTCGGCCGAGCTGACAAAACTGATCCTGAGGCAGCAGCATTGTCTTTCTGCCTGTCGTTAACTATATTTGAATGGCAGTGTGATATACAAAGGCATTCCACGGTAGAGGCAGAGGCTTAACTGAAGACACGTGTGTGTGTGTGTTTCGTGCTGTTTTGTGGCTTGAAGTGTAGCATGCTGACATTTTTGCTGCTCATTTTCTTACTGAGCATTAATGTCAGTTTGAGCTCCGCTCGTTTTTATTGCTGTGTGGGCTGTGGAGAGCTGCTCGGACATTGGGTTTTACTACATAACTGCACATCTTAAAACGTGAGATGCCTCTGCTGTCTCACAGTTTCTGACGGGTATTAACACCTGCGGTTGAACTATGATTGCACTTACGGCTCATTCTCACTGGAGGAGAGGTTACTGAAGTTGAGTCTGGTAAATGATTTTCCACTTATGTTTAGACAGAATGAACCTGGATTACCAGAATAAAATCCACCACTACGAAATACATTGTTCTCCTCTGACTCTGCTCCTCTGTGATTGGAGCATTGTCTGGCACATGTCCTCTCATTTAATGTGTGACTTATCTACCCGCCATAAACCATGTCTATCTTCTTCTATGTAGTCGCACAACGACAGCGTTCCTGTCAACGGCAATGTGCTGACTCACTCCGTGTGGTCACTTGCACTCGAGTAACTCAGTTACACTCAGTTTGATTTAAAACAAGAAAACGTGCTTAACGGCCGTAAGGCATTTAGTGAAACTATGTTAGTAGAGATTTCTTCTGGAGAGACCTGTTTCCTTGTCTATGCCAGATGGAGGTTTGCATTGGCCTCAGCTTGTCCTAGTCTTTTATTATTGTTTATCATTATGTATTATGAATACATACATACAAGCACAGTGTTTTGCGTAGTATTTAGAGCAGGCAGCCAGCGTGCGGGCCAGAGCGAGCTTGATGTTGTCAAAAGCAAGCTGTATGAGTATGGCGAGTGATTGTGACATACAGGTGTAGAGGCAGCTCTGCGTAGGAGTGTGCGTTTAGCCTGCAAAACAGCTCAGGGTTTTTATTTTTTAACATAATAAACATCTTGCTTTTTTGTAAATGGATGTCAAATCTTGTGTGAAAAATAAAAGTACGGGATTTTAAAAAGGAAAATGTGTATGAACGCTAATTGACAAGGCTGCAACTACATGCTTGTCGTGTTGTGTAAAATGTCAGAGCCCACGATGACCTTTTCAAATGTTTTATTTTACCGACGGTCCAAAACCTAGAGATATTTGGTTTACAGTGATATTTAAGAAGCTGGCACCAGTAAATGTTGGCTGGTTTTGCTTAAATTGATCGAATAATTGATAACTCTTCAACTGTAGAATTAAACCTGAGTAGTTGTTGGTGTGTTTTGACCCTGACTTCAATCTGTAGAATTAACACGGGAGCAGCAGTAGTGTTGAACTAATTATTCAAGTTACTCCTATTCCCGTATTACTTTATGATTTTAGCCGACACTACAGGGAACTATTAATCATCCTTGATAAGATAATACTTGTATATGGGAAGATGGTAATTGATTACTGACACTGACTGTTAAATGTTATTATGGAAGCCTAACTTCCAATTAAAAAGTTGCTCAAACTTCCTTGTTGACATTACTCTTATCTTTGCTACGTACGAGCCGAACTCATTGATGAAAATCAGCTTGAGGGTGGTGCAGAGGTAACAACAGGTTTTTATGGGGAAAGTTGCACATAAATATTTTTTTCTGTACATGTTCCAGACATTAGACTGTGACAGTCTCTGACTTTCTACCTCTTAACTGTGCAAGGCAGCCTCGGATTGTAGTGGAGCACAGATTCTCCTGAGCCCAGTATCCAGTTAAAGATTAAGTAATGCATCTTATTGCCTCTTTTCTAAGAGTACCACACAGTTGCAGGAAGTCACATATATGGCTTTGAGGTTGTATCTCATTTTCTGTCACCTCACTGTTGTGAACTCTAAAATGTCTTACAAAGAAACATCACTGTTGTTGGTCCTACTTTTTTTTTTTAAATATAAAACGTGTGGCGTGATCACTCCTCTGTTTGAGATCCACATTGAGGATTTTGTGCTCTCTGTTTGAGATCCACATTGAGGATTTTGTGCTCTCGGTTCAGGACATGGAGCTGCTCCCAGATGGAGACCTGACACTGATCGGGGACAGAGGGGCCACACTCAGCGGGGGGCAGAAAGCTCGTGTCAACCTGGCGAGGTAAGAGCACAGTGCAAATGGTTATAATAAAGAGAACCTGGTGGGTTTCATAGTGTTTGATTAGATAACTTGTCAGTCTTGAGTTGACCTCATAACTTTTATAATTTTTAAATCAAAATCTATATTACCCCTTAGTTGAGAAAAGACTGGTCCTTGAAACACATTTATTTATTTAATTTATTTCTGTCAGAATGTATAACTCAATAATGTGTCACAATGTATGCAAGGTTAAAGTGAAGAACGACTTTAAACACAGCACCTTTATTGAACATCAAATGGGTCTCTTTGTCACGAAGGCAGTCGAGTTTAGCTTACTGTAAGGAAAGATGGGATTCCCATTTACTGGCTAAAACTAACTACTAAATTGAGTGGCTCACAGCAAACCGGCCCCCTCCGTGTTGGGTTTAAGCTGGTTAGTCAGAGCACATTTACATAACAAAGTGACCCAGAGTACTATAAAAGAAGTAGAAAAAAAATAACTCAATATAAAATTAAGATAAACAGTTAACGTACAAAGACACAATAAATAATAGACAGAATAGCAGTTAAAGGGGAAACTCCACCAATTTTACTCAAGGTGTATTTCCAGGTTTTAGGGAGTACTACAGCATTTAGTGTCTTCAGAGGGCGCTGTGTGAAATCTGATACATTTCCTCAACTGATGTCACTTGAGTCTATCTAACAAAATTGTGTGTGTTTTGTCAGGGCTGTGTATCAGGATGCAGACATCTACCTCCTGGATGATCCTTTAAGTGCTGTGGATGCTGAGGTCGGCAGACACCTCTTTGAACAGTGAGTGATTTTAAAAGTTACAAAGTGTTTTGGGATCAGCATATCCCCCTCCATATATCTACATGCTGTCATACACACATTGGAGCAGCACACTGCTAAACCAGAGCGTGAGGGATGTATTTGATCTACCAAACAGGAAAATACTGGCGTGTTCTCGTCAACACCCCCCTGCTAGAGAAAGCCTCCAGCGTCCGATCACAGCAGGAGAAAGTTCCCGTAAAAAGAGGGGTGGGGTGTGTCATGTGGCATTGTTGTATAACGTAGCCAAGATGATCAAGAAAAGGTTTACAGTGTTTGAAAGAACTACGTCTGAGCCAGGAAGAGGTGCGGTGCTGCTAGTGTCAGGCAGACAATTGAAACTGGCCCCACTTTTCCTGTTACACTCTTCCTCTAGGACAACACAGTCCCACAGATCCGTACATAACAACTATAATAAGGAATGTGAAGCCGCACACAGAACAATCCCAAATAGATTTACTGAATCTTATATATATGTATTTATATGCTAAAACCTGACACAATCTCCACTTTGTGTCCGTGTATCAGGTGTATCTGTGGTATGCTGAGGAACAAGCCTCGTGTCCTCGTCACCCACCAGTTGCAGTACCTAAAGGCAGCCGACCAGATTCTGGTCCTCAAGGAGGTTGGTCCCAAACTTTACTCCATGTCGATTTTTAATTTACACTTACATAAACTTTAACGTGCAACCGTACACATATGAGTGACAGTCCTCCCTGACTTTTCAAACTAATCTGGTACAGGTAGTTTCAATTTCTCCAGAGCAGAAAAACACTTGAATCATAATGTGTTCATCTGAATGAATTTGGAGTTTAAAGGACCAGTGTGTGCCGGATTTAGTGGCATTTAGCGCTGAAGTTGCCGATTGTAATCAGAACAGGCTGTGAAATCTGTAGGAGAAACTACGGTGGCCGCGAAAAACGTGAAAGGCCCCAATGTAGAGACGTTATTCTGTTTGTCCGTTCTGGGCTACTGTAGAAACATGCCGGGTCAACTTTCTCCCTCTGTAGATAAAAATGGCTCATTCTAAGGTAACAAAAACCTTCAAAAACATACCTGAATATTATATTAAGTTTCTGCCAAGAGATCCTCCTCAATCTTACACACTGGACCTTTTTTTAAATATGAAACTGAAATCAACTGAAGCAATAAAGCATAAAATAGAGCCTTTTGTATAGATGTATATAATGCTGTATGCAGGTGGACATTCTCTCTTAAAACACTAATTATATAATGATATACGTACCTTAACTCATCTAACTGTGACCAATCAGAATATGAATAGCAGGGGGATTGTTTCAGTTAATACATGTTAACTCAGGAGAATCCCTGTATCAAAACCACATGATATCAAGTAAAGATATAATTTGGGGAAATGTTGCTGTTTGTGGTTCTCAGAGGATCAATCTTAAGACGTGACCTCCTGATTTTACACTTTATATACCAGAAATATTAAAATCCCTGAGGATTGTCATTTGTTGTTGGCCAGTCTGTGAGCTTTCCCCTAGCACCACCTTCACGTCAACTCACAAGATCACACATTGATGGTTTGTTCTGTTCTTCACCATCAGAACAAACTAGTGGTAATGTTTGAATCATGTTCAGAATCAGACAAAATGTTGCTGTGTGCAACAACATAATGAACATTACAGCCTGTTCAGGTCACTAGTTGGACTTCAGACTGTTAGTGTTTCAAGACGTCAGCACCAACATCTTGGTATAATGAAATGTATTTACCATAAACTTGTCAAAGTTTGTGTATGTGTGATGAGATAATGTTTAGGTGTTGGCAGTGGTATTTAAACAAAACGGCAGAGTTTCCGAACTGTAATTGTGTCTGTGCACATGTCAGGGTCACATGGTGGCAAAGGGGACGTATACAGAGCTGCAGCAGTCTGGTTTGGACTTCACCTCCCTGTTGAAGAAAGAGGAGGAAGAGGAGCAGCCTCCTCAAGACATCATCCCCAGGATGAGAACTCTGTCCCAGAACTCTGTGCTCTCACACACCTCCTCTGTGCACTCGGTCAAAGATGGAGACCAGTTACCGGTTAGTACATACATTTTACCTCTTTGTTTGTCTGACGCACAAACTGCAGGTTTCAGAACGTGCTGTGGTAACATTTATTATACATACACACATCGTATTTGTGTGTGTGTGTGTGCATCATTAGACAGATATAAAACACTAATTAAAGTAATGAACAAAACTCCCCATGCACAGCCAGCAGGTTCTGGGTGGTTGCAGGACTAATATAGGTAAAGAACAAATGGTATAACATTTTTTATAAAATGTTCATCTTATTAAAATTCAAAGTGTGATGCCAATCATTGTGAAAGGTTTCATGAACCGTTCCTAAGAACTAATAACTAATACAAGGACTGCGACTTTAATATGGTTATAATCAATAGTCATAGTGGTCACATTGATGAACCTACAGACGACTATCACCTGAATTTGCAGCTGCCCTCAGTGAGTTTTTGGCTTTAGCTCATTGTGTAACTCTAAGGCTGAAAGTTATTTCCACCACAGCAGGCTGCTGTGTTCATGGAAAATATTCCACTGTAAACTACCTGCTCAGACTAGCTGCTGAATGCGCCACTATGTTCACAAACTAAAGAGCCAGATATTTCTCTCAGGAGTTGTTGGAGACAAAAACAGTTACAAGACAGTGAATATTGGACTTGTATTCATCACCAGACCACACCGTCCAAGAGTGATAGCTGTCCTCTTTGTAACCTCTGGCTGATGGTAAAAAAGCAAACCTGTCTAACAGGGCAAGCAAGTCCTTGGAATACTACAATGCAATCTGCCTTGTACTAAGCCTGAGTTTCGGTGTGTCACCAGCACAGGGTGCAGTATAGTTCAGGAGAGTCCGCCAGGGAAGACATTAAAAATGAGTCTGTAGTATAACCATACTTGAAAGGCGGAGCCCCCACATCATGGTCTGGTAGTTGTCATACTGGCACGTCCTGGCCACATACAACAAGAAGAATTATGATCTTTTACATCTTAGAGTCCCCAGTTCCCCCAGCCTAAGAGTCAGACCAAACAACACTGTTTCTCTTTTATCTGTAGTGCATAACCATCAATGCCAGGACTGGGTGCTGGCTTTCTGGTAAGTGACAACAACCTTAAAGCGAACAAAAATAATACT